ATAGTGCAGAGGAGGGCCTGTCTTACACAGAGCAGTGGTAGGTAGGCAGGTTAACATGAGACACCTCTGTGAGAGGATCAGCCCTTGGATCAGTTATCACCAGAAGCTGCCTGGATCTGGTTAGTGAAGGTTTCAGGAGTGAAGCAGTCAGCAATAGGAGTGACTCCAGTTACAGCAGCAAACTTCAGTTCATTGGGCAGTATTCCTGGATGATATGACACTGACATCAACCGGGTTTTCAATGGCAACAATGGCACGAGCTGCCAGTAGAAGCTTCTCCCAGGTTCTCTTCAGATTTATGATGAAGATGCCATCACTTTTCCTTTTTAGATATACTGTTCCATTTGGAAGTCAAGGTTGTTGCCAACAAAGTGGGTTTCTGCTGTAAGGAATTTGAGGACATCCTCCTCCTTCATTTGCAGGAGATCAAGGGCTCCAGACATTGTGAAAATTTCCCTTTAAGTTATGAGAGGAATCCCTCACTCCAGCAGGAAGCTTGTTCTGGTGGCTGTGAGTGGTGCTAGGTATCCCACAGGGCATTCATGCAGAACAACACCATAGTGACCCTTCCCTAGGTAGTGTAGAAAACTCTTTTCTTCTTTTTAAAGACTTAGCAATTAAGTTATTCTTAAATCTTAAAAATATACTCCAAATTTAAATATAAATATTCTTATCTTTAATATAAAATATGCAACTAACATAAATGAACTGGATCTAGAAATAAGTTTTAAAAATCATAAATCAATTCTAAACATGCATATTATCATACTATAATGGCATTTTCATCATTTTATTGTTTTGTTCAAAATTAAAGTGATTAAAATTAGCTTTTTATATGAAACTTAAAAATTAAGAACTTTAACAATTTGAAAAAAAACTTTGTATGACATAAGATTTACTGTACTTTTCTCAACAGTGTCTTAAAGGAAATAATCTCCCTAGAAAGACAATGTTGTACTTCTTCATCAGTGAAATTCAGATACAAAATTCAGATCAAAAACAAAGTGTTATACAATATTTCATTCATGTATTTAAGAACCCAACACTTGATGAGCATCCACTATTGGGGAGGTAAAAGAATGCAAAATTAATGTTGGTGCTTCTGAATGAAATATGCCATAATTTAATTAACTAAAATATAAAACTAGGGCGCCTGGGTGGCTCAGTTGGTTAAGCGACTGCCTTCGGCTCAGGTCATGATCCTGGAGTCCCGGGATCGAGTCCCGCATCGGGCT